AAAAAAAAAAAAAAAAAAGATAATATTGATGTTAAAATAAATAACTTGAAAAAAAAAGTTTATAATTATGTAATCTATATTTATTGTGAATTATTATTAGTTGGTATTAGAAATAACTATTATATAATATAATAGAAAAATATATGATTACACTCAATAGGATGTATTAATGTGAGAAGTAAAAAATTTTAATGATAAATTTTGTAACCGAAAATAGAGGGAAAATTTTAGAGGTTTTATTAAATAGGTAAAATTAAATGCTATATACCAACAATTATATAGATATAGATATCGTTCCTTTTTACTATTAATGAAATTATAAAATGTGATATGTTTATCATCTAACTTATGACTTTGAATATTACATACCCACATATAACTATGAAATTTTATTCACATTTGTGCATACGTACAAGATTGAGTACAATTCTATGAGCAACTTGAAACTTAGTCTAACATAGGAGCCAAAAACCAAACAATATGTATACGGATTGAAATTCTCAGCAACTATAATATCCTACACCACCCCAACTGCCAAAACGTCATAAGAGTATACAAACCAAAAGTAACAAAAATTATACGGGGCACTATAAAGGTAACATTAATAGTGAGGACGGACCACAAAATCTGATTACAAATAATGCAGCATGGAAAACAAAAAACAATGCTCAAAACAAGTTTGCTATGCAGAATGATGTGTGTTTTCTACAGTGGATGATCATAAAGTTTGTACAATGACGTAGAATGTGAACCAACTTTCACTTAGCTTCCCCATTCCATACAATCCAAATAAAGAAACAACAAATTTGCCCGTCAATGAAATGAATCATTCAACCTAAATCAAGGATCCTTGTCTTTCATCAGAGGCCTAGGCAATCTGCTATGTAGACTATCATCCACTATCTTGTAATGCTCGGAAATTTTTTTATGGATCATCCCAGCGTAACGATCAATAATATCTCTAAATTTATCGTACAAAGCCGGAATTGTGATAAAAATTATGACTCCTGTAGTCAAATGGTATACGTAAGAAATTAAACTTAATCCAAGAACAAGCTCTACCACAAAATAACAAAAATTAACTCATTAAAGAGTGAAAAGATATCGAGAAAAGCTCTTGTGAAGGTCAAAGAGCCGCTAGATATCTCTGAATTGTATATCTATCTTTATCAATTAAGAAAAAACATTCAAAATTATGTTACACCAAAAATGACCAACGTTTTTAGCTCGACACAGGAAAGAAGTACGTATGAAATTATGCCTTGAAAGTTTGAATATGTTTGGGTTATGCTTTCCAAAGCTGCAAGCAGTTAGTTAACCATACTACGTAGTCACATTAAAACAGCATTAAAGAAAAACCAAACAGCAATCCTATATATTTAAGACTAATATATAACTACTGGAAAGACATCAAATAGCAGGAAAAAAGACTAACATTTGCCACAATACCTATATAAGCGAGAGTGAAGAAAGATATTAAGCTACCAACCACAGACAAGAGCCATAATGCAATCACGACCTGCATGTTCAAACGTGATAGAATTAAGGATGAAAACAAACGAAAATAATAGATAATAAATATTATTAATTAAGAAAATAACTCGGGTCGAACCCCGCCTAGCCTAAAGCCAAAACTTTGGAAGAAACTTTCTGCCCAGGCTTAAAACCGACTATTCTATTCAACGAAAGGTAACCCTATGTGTCAGCCGATAGTCTATTTAACTAGAGTCCAAACTTAAGTATAACCCTAATATATTCCAAGCAAATGAGCCCAAAAACCTGATAATTGAAAATAATAAATAACAATATATATCTAACAATTCTCCCACTGATAAAATAACAATATATGTCGTTAACACCCACCACCTCCATCCTTTCCACGAAGATATACAAACTCTCATCTTCCACGGTCCTTCACTAAGGTCCCTCGTCTTACTCTCATCTCGTCGCTTAACAATATGCCTGATCTTTGACCAACGCTAGAGTTGTTATGGAGAGACGAGTAGATAGTGCATGTAAATGGTTCACCATCTTAAGAGTAGGTACAGATGTTGTAGCTACCACAAGAAGAGGAACAGATGTTGCAGCCACAACAACCATAGGAGAAGGATCAAGTTCCACCACGGGCGCTGGGCACTATTTTTGCTGGCAACAACTTCATCATCTTCCTCGATTTCCAGTAATTCAGCGTTCTCCCCCTTCACATACAACAAATGCACACGGTTGACTATTATGAATACAAACTTCAAGTGAACTGGTTTTAATGCGGGGGAATCCAATTCCAGCACCCTCTATCTGAATTCTGGCGATCGCTATCTGAATTCTGACGATCATACCTGCATGTGGCAGCTTAGGAATCACCCTGTGGATGAGCTCCTCGACGTTTTAAGCTGAAAGTTTGAAGAATGTTTGTCGGCTCATCTTAAAAATGTCTTGTACAGATGGTAGTTTCTTGCATGCTTGGGCCCCAAAAGCTGGCTTTCTATTTTGTTCCACCTCTCATTAAACCGTAGATTCCTAACTGGATAACCATCCATGATCAATACATCACTTATGTAGAATCTTCTTTGTTGCTTTCCTGAATTCGAAGACGTCTCAATTATAAGTTGACCATAGAGAAAACTATCAGCCCCAGGAGTTGAGATTAACTTGTTGGGAATCTCAGGTGTACCTCCCTAATGTTAAAATCCGCGTCGATCAAGAAGGAACCTTCGGTAGCCAGCATGAGCAATAAATTGTTACTATCTCCATTGCAAGCAACACGATGATAACTACTTATGAGATGCATCGTCTGTGGGGTACATGGTTCTTATGGCGTCGCCTTGGCGTCGCCTAGTCGTCGCCTTGGCGTCTGGGCGTTTTTTAAATCAAGGCGTCGGGCCCGCCACGAGCTGCCTTCGTCTGGCGTCGCCTCACGCAAAATGTCGTCGCCTAGGCGTCTGCAATGGACATGGCGGCCATGGCGGAATAGCAGGCCCAATCCCAAAAAAACCAAACTGAAGCAGGCCCAGTCCCAAAAAAAAAATGAAAATAGAATACGATCGGATTTCTCAGAAAAAAAAAACAAACGAACAAAACAAAAGCCCTATTTGACCTACAGTGACCTGCGAGCCTACTCACAAGATAACTCCGACAATCCACACTCCGGCGACCGGCGATTGCAGCCCCGGTAAGTTTCTTTGTCTTTCAACTATTTTCAGATTTTTTTTTGCACCGTCGAGAATCCGGGATTAGGGAGATTGATTTTTTGGTTTTTTATTTTAATTTTCCTGGACACATGCGTCGGTAGAGAGATTGGTTTTTTTATTTCTTTATTTATTTTCCTGGACAATTGTGCCGCATGGAGGTTATATATAAATATATATATACAATATATATATATATATATATATTTTCTTTTTTCCTTGTGTCAGGGAGGTAGTATTTGTTTTTTATATAGTTGGTTTTGTGCCAGGAGGTGGTATTTGTTTTTTATATAGTTGGTTGGTGTCTTGGTGACAGTGAAGTTGGCAGCAGAATTGGCAGCAGAACGGTATGTATCAATGTATGTTTGTGCTACTCGTTGTAGGTTAAGGTATGTGGTATGGCGTCGCCTCGCCGTACGCCTAGGTCGCCTAGGCGTCTGGAAGGGGGCGGCTCGCCTCGCTTCGCCTTACCGCCGTAAGAACCATGGTGGGGTAAGCTTTAAGGCCGACGCTACCGTGAATAACGCCTGAGAGTCACGGGGTAACCTCATCATCTCTAATTATTCCCAGTTGCGTCAGCCTTAAAGCTTACATGACAGATGATGCATCTCATAAGTAGTTATCATTGGGTTGCTTGCAATCCAGATGGTAACAATTTAGTGCTCACATTGGCTATCGAAGGTTCCTTCTTGATCGACGCGGATTTTAACACAAGGGAGGTACACCTGAGATTCCCAACTCGTGGGGCTGATACCTTGCTCTATAGTCAACTTATAATTGAGATGTCTTCGAATTCAGGAAAGCAACAAAGAAGATTCTACCTAAGTGATGTATCGATCATGGATGGTATCCACTAGGAATCCACAGTTTCATAAGTGGTGGAACATAATAGAAAGTCAGCTTTATAGCTTAAGATGCACTGAGCGTGCAAGAAACTACCATCTGTACAAGACACTTTTAAGATGAGCCGACAAACATTCTTCAAACTTTCAACTTCGAACGTCGAGGAGCTCTTCTAGAGGTGATTCCTAAGCTGCCACATGCAGCTAAAGAAATCATCTTCCAGGGTAATGATCGTAATTCAGATAGAAGGCTGCTGGAATGAGATTCCCCCGCATTAAAACCAATTCACTTGAAGTTTGTATTCAAAATAGTCAACTGTGTGCATTTTGTGTGCATTTGCTTTATGTGAAGGGGGATAATGTTGAATTTCTGCAAATTGGGAGGCAACAACCCTTTCTCACGAAGTAGTTGCTTCACCAACTCTTCAATTCAGCTAAGTTGTTGCAACGAACGATCTATATGTATCGTTAGTGACTGAACACCCTTCTCTATCGTGTCTACGCGTTTCTCTATCCGATTTTTTGATCCAAGTGGTCACACCAATTGATACAATTAAGGGTGAAAGCAACTGAAGATAATAGATAATCCATATTATTAATTAAAAGATAATAGATAATCCATATTATTAATTAAGAAATAATTCAGACGAATCCCGCCTAGCCTAAGGCCGACACTCAAGAAGAAACTTCTGCCCAAGCTCAAAGACGACAATTTTATTCAACAAAAGGTAACCCTAGGTGTCAGCAAATAGTATATTTAAATAGAGTCCGAAACCCTCAATAATGGATATTTTAAGCAAATGAGCCAAAAGCACAATATTTAAGTTAAATGAATAACCATCTATCTCTAACAAAATGAGGTAATCAAAGTTCATCCCATGGAGTCAAAGCTCAAAGGACAGACACACATGTTGTTCATCATCTGAGAGAAAACTTGGAAGGAAAAAACTTGTATAGCCAAAACCTTGCCTCCATTCATTCCTAGGGAGGCAAGTTTTTGAAACTCACCTCTCTCATCTAGTAGAGCCATATAACTGACATATAAAAATTGAAAAAGGTGCAAAAAATTAAGAAAATAAAAAAATATTGTGCAATTAATCACTCCCCCCATGAAATATATGATGCAAATGGCCTTACGACAGCAAAACTTGTCATTCACATTTTGTATATGCCATTTTCGAGGGTGTGAAGAAATACTATCAACTATATTATCCATAACCCTGGTAGTATATCCACTTGTCTTTAACACACACACACACACACACAGACACATTAGTAGTAAGCAATCAGAAGGCTGGTAGTGTCTATATATACACAATATTGTCCAAGAGTACAGCACAACTAAGTCTGTGCTTTCCTGACACCACCAATGAACATTTACTGGCCCTTTTAGCAGACTCCAAACATTTTGGTCTAATGTTATTAATAAAAAAAGACAACGATAGGGGAAACAAGATAGGAAGCTCAGAGTAGCCCTTTTGAATCTTCACTAATCATTTATCACTAACCTTGAAAAAGAGTCTGAAATCTTTGCCAAGGGTAATGTCATGAGCCATAAGCAGCATGTAATTGACTTTCACACGTAAGGATGCAGCAGCATTATTTACCATTTCTTCTGATAGAACTAGTTCAGGTAGTGTTGGAGGTTGTCTGTGAAATGAGCATTAAAAAGATCTCAAGAGATTCCCATATAGCAAACGGAACACATGGAATATAGGACACATGAATAGATGGAGTGATCATTACTTGTTTCGAAATACAGCATAGTTTGCCGCGATAAATAAGAGAACAACTAAAACCAGCAAGACATCTGAAGAAAGAGAAAGGAAAGATATCCCCGAGCGCTCAACCAAAAGCCATGAAACCGTGGCAACAATGATTATGCCACATGAAACACGCCTCCGCCTCAACAGAATGACATCAGCAGCTGAACATCCGATGAAAAAATCAGCGGGGTTGGTTGGTGTAGTTAAAATATGCACAAGTATAAATAAAGTGAAGGCGACAGCCATGGCAGAACATAATGCTCATTAATAATAATCTAGGACAAAACAATTGGTGGATGTAATGAATTTTGAAGAACAGGAAAAATAATGCAACTGGTTCAGTAGTATGATTGTTTCTACTTGGATTATCCTCTTTAGTCAATGAAGATTAATTTCAGAAACACGAACATTGTACAGCATAATAATATAGGTGATATTAGGTTTGTTCTATAAAACCAGATAGGGCTCTATGGAGCCCTATTGCTTATTTGTCACCCTTCTATGAATATATAGCGCACCAAAACTAAAAACTAGTGGGTCATGTTAGAAATAGATCTCCACAACATAACCCTATCTGGTTTATAGAGAGACCATTTTTTTTTAAATCCACATAGAGATGTTGCATTTACTAAGAAAGAAACCTTAACCATTTAAGCAGTTGTTCCTGCAAAAGTAAACTCATGTATTGATGCATGCATAACATAAATACAAATTCTGCTTATGATCAGCCGCTTCTGTCCTAGAAAGCAAATTCAATTCTACCTTCGGCATTCGGCTCTATGACGCACAAATCTTCAGAATTTAAATCCTCCATTTCTGCATTTTTTTTTTTTTTTTTTCACCAGAGAGACTGATCACAACAACAATTGAGAAAATTAACAAACCGCAATGGAAAAGGCCATACCTTCCGTAACCTAAACCGAAGCTCAATTTTGCTGAAGGAGTTGAAATAATCGATTCAATTCAACTATAGGACAGTATAATCACGGTCCTCTCTTTTTCAGCTGGAGTGGAGATTGAGACTGGTCTTTATTAGCGATGTGGGCTAGCCCTAGCGGTTTCGGGCTAGCCCTGGTGGACTTCGGGTTAAACGGTTCGGGCCAAAAAAACTCGAATTTAAACGGACTACCAAAAAAGGGACCTAACCCTAACCCTAGCGAGCTTCGGGCTAAACGGGCTATGCGAGCTATAATATTAATAATAATAATAATAATAATATATAAAAAAAATCAAAAATAAAAAGAGTAAATAATTTATTAAAAAAATAACAACAGTTGTTAAAAATTATTTTTAATGGCTATTTAGTATTTACCGTCTATCACTATGTTTCATGTGTTTTCTATTAGTCGTTCTGATTGACTTAAATATTTTGGTATGAAGTACAGTAACAATATTGTTAAGAATTATCTTTCAAAATCATAATAATTCATTACAACTCATACTTACATGTGAACTGGAATACCAAAATATTAATATACAAGTAATTTAAGAGCATATTACTTACTTGATACAAACATTTACACCGTCCAACCCTAGTTAAACGGGCTAGCCCTGGCGGGTTTCGGGCTAGCCCTAGCGGGCTTCGGGCTAAACGGTCCGGGCCTAAAAAGCCCTGATTTAAACGGGCTACTAATAAAAGGACCTAACCCTGTTTTTTTCTGGGCTAAACGGGCCGGCCCGTCGGGCCAAAGACCATTTAACATCTCTAGTCTTTACGATTGAATTAAAAACTAATCATCTTCGCTGAATATAGTACGGCGGCGTCTGGACGAAAAACAATGCCATTGGGAATCTTCATCCCAATCTTCAAGTGTAAAAAGTAGGTGATTCTACGGTCAGGTAACCTTGTACTTTGGCTTGTATCTACTTAACAACAAGTATTTCTTAATTGATTGACACGTGTCTTTTTTTATTTAATTAAATAAAAAATAAAAAAAATACTTGTCGGAAGTACAAAAATGCCTTTACTTAAAAAATTATAAAATATATTGTTTGAATATCAATATATTTATGTAGAAAGTGTTTAATTATTCTTATATTATTATTTTACCCCAACACATTTAGGTATTTCAACTAATCCACAAATTCTTACTAAATTGTATTTGTTGAAATCGGTCGATCATCATCATTTTGAAACCCTTCGCCGTGAAGATTATCCAATCACCTCTAAATTTTTCTTTATCATTCAATATCATTTGACGAAAACCAAACTTGAGATGAATATGATCACTCGATTTCATCTTTTCTGGAGCTCAGTCTTATTAGGTTTTGCTTCTTCTTCATCTTCTCTTTTCATTTCTGATTTATATAATCGAAAATGGTTAAAAGAATAAAATAAGTGTTATATTAACTGCAAATTCATTGATGGTAGCAGTCGAACATTAATCTGCTACCACCCATCAAGTGGAAAACTAGGTCAGCGGGTGGTATTGCTGCTTTGGTCACCGACGATGAGTTCATTGGTCGCTTCTGTTTATGGCTCATGGTTTTGATTCCTTCTTCGCCAAAATATACTCGAGAGACTATGGCAGTTTGGTTTTGCGAGGAAATTGGAATGTGGTTCTATCATCAAAATCAAAGCCGAGGGCTATTTTATTAGGTTATCAAACCCTACATCGGGCCCCGACATCGAGATAGCGAAATCCTCACATCTGGAGAAATACTCCAATCGCGGCTCTCCCTGTTGAATCACACAGCCAGGATAGCGAATTCGGGCCCCGACATCGGGATTTCAAAGGCCGCCAAGGACGCCTTAGAAATCGGCAGGAAGCTCTGGCGAGAGCTCGAGTTAGTCGGAAAAAATAACATCAATCGGGTGTTCGACAACAAGGGAAGTACCATTACCAAACCCGGACCGTGCCCACACTTCATATCAGTCGGAGGTTTGTAAAACTTGAGGTCGGTTATTTGAAGTGTCTCTTTTGAACTGTTATTTGAAATTTTCTAAGTGCCATCTGTTTTTAACCTCTGCCCCTTTATAGGGAGGGTGAATTTGATTGGAGAGCACATAGACTATGAAGGTTACTCGGTGTTGTTAATGGCGATCGGACAGGAGACTGTTATGGCCATACAAAAAGTTAAAGGAGATAAAGTTCTTAAGATTGCAAATGTGAATAGTTAGAAATATTCTTTATGTACTTACCCTGCTGATCCCAATCAGGTAAAGTTCAATGGGTGCTCAGTACACTTTCTCCATGTATATTCTTGGGGTTTTGTGCCTGTGATCATAATCTGTATTTTTGTTCCTTTTATTTGTTTATCCACGTGTAGTGGGATCATAATCTGTATTTTTTTTTCCTTTTATTTGTTTATCCACGTGTAGTGGAACTATATTTGTTCACTGTCTGAGCTCGTGCGATCTTGTGCTATTATGAATGGCACTGAATAGAAAGATTGTTCTTTTGGGCAGTTTGTTGATTGCTTATGGAGCAAATATTAAGTTTATGTGAGAGTTTAGTTATAATTTGCAGTGCTTGAGTAAGTTGTGCAGTGTTGGAGATTGGTTTTCTGTGAGAGATTAGTTGTTATTTTAGAGATTTTCAAGTAGCCCACTAGCCCCAATAGTTGTTGCAATCTCACAAAGTTCACTGCTCCATGAGGAATATTAGCATGATATTGATGTGCAACTTCCACTCTGTGGTTTTCTTTTGGCAACCATAAGTCATAGATGGAGAAATTAATTGTTTGTGATTACAAGCTGAATGAGAAAGATTCGTTAATATAGATGTGATGTTTTATGGTTCCATACCACAAGTTGGTTGGAAGGTTCTCATGTATCTTTTCAATTTTCTTGCTTCGGTACAATGGCAAGAAACACTCGGGGGCTTTGTAGCTGGTATACTGACCACACGACGAATGCTCATTGTTACAGCTGATTTTGACGTGTTGGCTTGTAATTCTGCCAATTTTGACAAAGGAATTCCTTTAATATCCTTTGCACAAGGAAACTGCAAATTTCGTCCGTTAGGATTGGACTCGTTGCAAAATCAGTTCGTTCAAATGAACCCAATTGTTTAGTTGACTGATTCTCGATTCAATAGTCGGCTTCACACAATTTTCAAAACAATAGTAGTTGATATTAATTTTTTTATTTTTTTTAAATGTGTATTAACTTCTGCATTTATATTTTATTTTTTATCAACCACTATAATTATAATAAAATTAAATAATTATTTTATAAATATATTTATTATTTAATTAAAAATATTTGAAATATAGAAAATATTGTATTGTAATTACATTTTAAGATATAATAATAATAATAATAATAATAATAATAATAATAATAATAAT